TTCACATTAAATTTCAGTTCCTCAAAAGACACGATAACAGAGTTTGGAGGATGCACATTTGGACTCTTTTTAAAACCTTAAATGAAGCTTCTGCTCCTTCTGATGTAAATCCGGTGTTTAGCAATCAGATTAGCAGTCTGCTTCTTATTTTTTTTATCTGTGTCAAAGTATGAACATGTGGGGAGAGGTTGTTTTAAGATCATGTGATTCTATATCTATCCAATGACAAAAAAACACAAAACACAAGGCCACAAAAACATGACAGAGCTCAGCTGTGCTGCCCAATAACACTGTAGTAAATGTGGAACAGTTTAATGTTTGGTCTCTGTATTAAAGTATTAAAGTTTTGCTTTCTCTGTTTTGCAGCATCATCTGTGGGCTCACACAGTTCACCAACAGGAACCACTTGGCATTCGCTGCTCTGGAGGCCGTCTGCTTCCAGACCAGAGAGGTGAGCCTCCTCTTCTCATCCCTAGAACGAGAAGATACACAAGAGTGTAACCGGGCTATCACTAAGCATTGATCACATAGGTGTAACGTGAGTTTATGATGCATACAGGTTTGCTTACTGAACACTATATCAGAGCATGGTAGCATTTCAGCTAGGCTGAATTTCAGATGCAACAAGAGTTAATAAAGAGGGCTAGGAGACGGGTTTAAAAGCAGTAGTTGAATTGAAGTGTGTGTGTGTGTGCGTGTGTGTGTTAGATTCTTGATGCAATGAATCAGGACAGCGGGGTCCCTCTGACGCAGCTTAAGGTGGACGGAGGGATGACGTCAAACAGATTACTGATGCAGCTGCAGGCCGACATCCTCTGCATCCCTGTAGGTACGACTACTAAACGCACACACACTCAGAGTAAGTCTGTGTTTTAAAATCGAGGAGCTGGTGACACGAGGCTGAACCTTAACCTTAAACTGTCCATTCTGATATTTGACCCATTTAAAACAAACACTTTGATATACAGGTCGAAGGTAAAGGCAGAAATGTACCTGTGCTAACTTTGCTGTGCACACATGACGTGCCACCAGTTAAACATGAATTGACTTTACACGCACATATCTTCCTCTTCATTGGAATACTTTGCCAACATTGTGTAAGTGGATGATTTTATCACCTGTAAGATGTTTCCCATCAAAGCTGAACAGCTGCTCCTTTTGATTGTTAGAGACTTTACTAGAGACTCTAATGACCGCCTGGTTCACTGTGACGAGTTTAGTCACATGTAGAAATGACAAAATGTCCTCACTGTCTGATGGTAAAGATTGTTCTTTACTCACAGTCTGCACTTTTGAAAAAACAATCAGTCACTATCTGGA